ATATTTCACCGTTTCACGTTGGCGGGAATATTTTATGATTCCCGCGTAATGTATTTATAGCCATGACCCGCGCTAGCTTTGTTCATGTGAACAGACGAATCAGTACCCCGGGTCAATGACTTGTCGCGGGGCAGTTGTTTATCCCGGGATCATGTGAACAGGGCCTTAGTAAAAACAACGTGAGTCTGGCCTCATTCGCTTTGTTCTTTCCCATCCAACTAGACGTTCGCCCGCCTTATTGTCGTTCATTTTGTTTGCTTGATTTCGCTTTCTCGCAGAAGTTGTAGTATTGGTGGAATTTAAAACCGCTCGCTTCCAAGCGCAGTTGCCGGGGATGGAGTTGCGTGGCGGGTTCATGATCAGTCATATGGGGGTACTTTTCCCATTGTTGCCATTGAGTTCGGGCACAACCACGTTCTGTTCCGATATACCTGTAGCTCCGCTTGGTAAGGTAGTATACGCAATTTCCCCGTTTTTGACGGGTGACTAGTCTCGTATGGGGGTGGTGGAGGTACCATTGGTTGACTAAGGTTTCAAGGAATTGCTATCCTTAGTGATGGTTGCCAGCTTAGTCAGGCGCATCTTGATTAGCTACCGATTCCATCCCTATTGGCGAAAGCGGGCAAATATAATGTAGTATGGTAATATCTAGTAACATTAATTGCTCGATGGATGATTAATATCGTATGAGATATTAATTGGATATAAGTAATGTATGCAAAGGCGAGCGAACTTGACAAGAGCAAAAAATTGGCGTATTTCGTTTCTTGATGTGTTCTCGGCGGTCCCTCCTTTCTCCCGAGGAACTATACTCACGGTCTACGCATTGCGGAAGCAAAAGCCAGGGACTAGGTCCCTAGACTAGGGAAATAAATTATTTATTGTTGTGTAATCTATAAAAATCCATAAAAGTTCATCTTGGTTAGAATAGACCCTGTAAACATGAGTCTCAGAGATGAAATTTGCGTGCCTTGACAAACCAATACTGTTAAGACCGTTTCATACGCCGTACTTCACATGTGCCGAATACATTAAAAACAATAGATAATGAGGCATTTCAGGTCATTATCTATTGTCTTTAATGTTTCGGCACATGTGAAGTACGGCGTATGAAACGGGCCTTACAGCAAGCTTACATAGGTTAACCTTTTGCTCTTTCGTGATTTGTTTCAGATGTGGGAAGGAAGCAGGCGGTTATACTTGATATGCAAATTTTGTATGCTACTAGCAGCTGAAACACCACAATAATCATCGTTTTAATAGCCGAACGTTTCAGCTGTACGAACTCGTGCTTAGAATTGGAAATTGTTTTGTGTTGTCCGAACTATTGCGGCAGGCTTAAAGTTTCAAATAACTTTCTATGCATCATGCTGTAATGGTTTCGTATCTTATAATTATACGGATATATGTTGTTAAGAAAACTGTATAGTATTAGGCCTATATTTGTGTTTCGACTTGACCGTATTTTCGAACCAGCTGCGAAATGGTTGTGTCTGACTACGCTCAATTGTTTAGCATCCAAATTATTCACGTTCAAATCATGTGAATGCTGCATGCGAATCGTACCAAAGTCACATGTCTCATGATTTCAATTTATCTTTACATATTGAATAATTTTGACTTTAATCCTGCTGAATTGTTTGAAAATATACTAAATCAATATCGACAATACTGTGGAAAAGACAAATTTGGGTTACGTTGTTTACATCGTTGCTACCCAAGTCACAACTTTAGATAACTAACATGCCAGTTAGTATGAATATTGCTTTAGTAAAACTTAGTTACCTTTGTCTATTCTATGCTTTTGTAAGCATGTGAGTGATCTACAGTTATGGATTGGATATAAACAAACGTTGTCTATGCTCATTGAATTATGTATTCTAAGTGTGAGTTTGGGACTTCCTTGGGTTAGGTCTAACCTGGCTTTTCGTGATTGGCCGATAAAACTATCATCGAAACTGCCTAGCCATTTGTGTTGTATTATTCCTAATATTTTGTCCCAAAGAAATATATAGAGTATGTAACAGAACAATTTTAAAAAAGTTAGATAAAGAACTTGGTCTATAATTATATATCAGAAAGAATATGATAGAACGTCTTTTCCTTTCACTTGGGTTATATATATATATAGCTATAGACGTCACACTTCCGCGCTTTTGCAGCTACCCACGTACACGCAACGTTTAGCTCATAATTGTTCTGTGGTTCCTCGATCTGTTGATATCGAAATTGAAGATTTTTTAACCAACGAAACCATATATATATATATATATATATATATATATATATATATATATATATATATATATATATATATATATATATATATATATATATATAGTACAATCTGCAGACATGCATGTTTCGGCGTTCAACGCCTCGTCAGTGCAGCTTGGTACACGTCTAGATACGTGAGACACTCGTATTTATACCCCATGAACTTGCTCTCACCAAGGCATGTGGTACAACACGGTGACTCAACGCAT